TAGATCTGCTCTATCTACATTATTTTTGAAGTTTTAAATTTGCTCATTAGAGATGAAAATAAGTTTTAAGATCATCACAAAGATTTTTAGTAGTGAAACATCTTTTGGCTCTATTTAAAGGTGCGCCTTACTTTGATTGTCTAGAGCCTCGGCCTTATACAAACCACACCCTTATTTTGAAAGAGCAAGGTTGTGTTGGATGCCCCCACGCACCTTGTGAGTCCACCTTCCAAAATCTACGTTAAAGATGAATTATGGATCCAGCACATCACAGGTCTATCATCTCGACCACCATCATCATAATTTTTGGGGAAATAAGAAAAAGAAAAAAAAAATTGAGCCTAAAAAATAAGTGATTTATACTTTCTTTATGAGGTGAAAGAAATTGGTGTAGTAGCCAAATGACGGCATCTTCATAAGATGAGCGTTTGAAAATGGGCATAGTGTGTTCAAAAAATAGAATTAAACTCCTCTGGTATTCTAGCCAAACGCACCCTTCAAGTGAAAGCTCATACCTCATTTCAGGAAGATTTTCCGGCCACCGATTCCCCATCGTAATCGTACGTGTCACCTGCTCGCCATCGTACTCCGCCGGGATCTCGCTCGGGTTTACGACCAGAAAATCAAACACCTCCTTCCAATCCCTCACATTCCTTGTGTTCTCCGCATCAAAATATCCCATCGCATTATCCTCATCCCTTCGAATCTTCCTCTTCTCCTCCACCGACTGGCTGAAAAACTTGGCTGCAACTTTTTTTACCTCGTTTCGAAGCTCAATGGGCATCCCATGGTTTATGACTTGAAAGAATCCCCACTCTTTGCACCCCTTCCCAATTTGATCAACTATTTTTGAGAGTGCAGTTGAGTCATCCGAGTTCGATGAAAACAGGGGGCCGAGATCGATAATCGGGACTCCCTCAGCTGAGAGATTGGCTGTATTAGAAGGTCTATCTTCTTGGACCTGTGCAAAAGCTGGATCCATATCCCAAGCCATGATCGAAAGATCAAGCTACCAATACAGCAACAAGTGGTGTATTGGATTCTTTCAAAACTACGGAGTTTGGAGATTGGATTCTATTCAAGCTCTGAAGTTGAGCTTTGATGGGGGGGATATGCTGGATCACATCATGCTTCTAGGAAAAGTCATGACTTCTAGGAAAAGTCACGACTTTAGTGATTAACAAATCATAAATTTATTGTTTTCCTTGGCTCACAAAATTATTTTAATGTTTTATGTTTATATGTTTCAAAGTAGCAGGGGAGTGGTTTTAAGTTGCTTTCCACGAAAAAAAAGTTTATATCCTCAAAAATTTCACTAGAAGGGGTTGTTTTAATGTTTGAAATATCTTCAAATTGATCATCTCGACATCAAAATGCACGGACATGAGAAAAAATGAATTTTAAATTTTGAAAATATTACCTCTTGTAACATATTTTTGGCTTTAAATTTTATAATTAAAAATAAAAAATATATTTTAAGGCTATCACAAACCTCACCCTAAATTTATTGTTTGCCTTGCCTCACAAAATTAATTTAATGTTTTACGTTTATATGTTTCAATGTCGTAGTGGAGTAGTTTTAAGTTGCACCCCACGAATTGGTTTTCAAGTGAAGAAAAGACTTCACATTTCTTTAATTTTCTTGACTAGTTCATTTTTTAGGGGCCCCAAGCTTGTTGGCAAATTCCATTGGAACCATATGTCAACGTTGCCGTGTTCACGTCTTTTTGTAAGTGCGATCTAATGCTAAAAATCAAAAGAAATGTTATGAAAACTGAAAATAAAGCAAAATAAAGAACTTGTCAAAGCCTTCCGGCCCAACATCTGAAGTAGAGCCTTGATCAGAGCATAATTTGAGTGATTGAACCACAAAATGAGTTACTTATTTAGGATCTTGAGTGAGTTGGATTGAAAAGGTCCCTAAATGTCTAGAGTTTAGGTCATTATGTGATTGAGGGATGAATAGGTTTATCTGAGAAATAGGTGATTATAGTTGCTGAAAAAATTAGGGTTTGAGGCTCCTAGAAATGAACCCAGGTTTAGGGTTTTGAGAATTAGGGTTAGGTTTTAGGTCAAACTAGGATTAGGGTTTCAATTAAGTGCCAACCCTTGGAACGTCAAAATGGGGATATTTATAGACAACAATCTAAAATTTAGAAGGTAGTTTATCTGGGCCAATTTGGAGCTAACAGCTGGAAGCGCCGCACTTTGTGGCGCAGAGTCTATCTCTTTTGCACTGCAAATTGTGGCCCGTTCTGCTTATGGACTCTGAATGACAGATTTTTTTGGGATCTTGATTTTGAGGGTTTTCATTTACTATTTTCAATAAAAAAACATGCAGTCTGTCATTTCTTGAAATATTCCATTTCTTTCTAACTACAAAACTTGCCTTTTTTTTTCTAAGTATGTGCTTTCTAAGGCCGAATTCCATGGGATTTGGGATGATTTTGGATTATTTTTGGGCTGGCTTTTGGGTTTAGGATGACTACAGTTTAATATGGTCCTTAGGGCATTAGGCTAGTGTGATCACTGGGGGTTGAATGGCTATTCTAACACTTCTTTATCATTTTAGGGGTTCATTTCTACAACTTAAGATCTAGAAATTCAGAGAAAATGGCAATTCCAAATTGAGTGTGTAAACCATGAGAACCATTTTGATCTCTTATTTCATCATTGTCATCACGTCGTATATGTACCTGGTAGCGAGCTTTGTGCCATCATCAACAAATCAAAGCACTTTCACTATAGGGCGAGAAACATCCAATTCATGGTATACTTGGCTCCAAAAAGATATATTAATGACAATTTACTCATATTTTCTCCCATCTAGATGCTTAGAGGACTTCAATTCCATTTTTCTGAAGTGAATGTGGTCCTTAGGGCACCTTTTTCTTGTATGGCTTTAAAGAAGGAAAAATGTTGTGGCAAATCTAGTACCTTGTAGTCTTATTAATATCTTTTTTCTTTGTAAACTCCCTCATCATGTTAAGACTAGATAGATAAAACTAATGACACTTAGCTTTTGAAATCGCCCAATTAACTTTTGAAGTCTGACCTATGTCCATAAGCATGAGATCAAAGCAGTGAGTTGCGCAAGGAGTCCAAGACACATGTCTCCTCTTCAAAGTCAAAAGATGTCCAGCTGCAGAATAAGTGCAACATTGCCGGTGATAATTTGTGCTACATGCTCCTCCCAAATAAGGTCCACAATATCATCCATGAACTCATACAAGTATGTAGCATCATTGACTTGTCTAATACATCAATAGACTTCTCAAAAAGAAAAGTTATAGACCAAAACTAGGATCTTCCATCAGATAAGAGGGTCACCTCATACTTCTCCAACACTTCTTTTTAGGAACTCAAAATTTTCTTAACTTCAATCATAGCATCTTTCGTAAAAGGCTCCCTAAGATCATATAACGAAATGGGCTTGAGTCGTGGGCCAAATTTCCAAATTGTCTCAACTATAAGCTCAAAACTGTCGAGGTTTAGAGTATTGAAAGAGACATCGACCTGATAAAACCACTTAACAATGCACCGTTATACCATATTCCTCTCTTCTTTCTTGTACCTATTTTCAAGTGTGATTTGTTTCTTTTTCTCTCTCTCTCTTCCTTTTCTTAACCACATCCTTTAGGTTAGGAGTGCAAAGTGCATTCATTGCTTTTTCTTTTTTTAACATTACCACCACTATTTATAAGCCTCCCCCTTGTAAGTCTACTTCCAACTTTTGATGCATCCTCATCATCATCAAATACTTGAATTCTTCTAGCATTTCTTTTTGTATTTCATTCGTCTTCTTTTTTGGTTATCTCTATATTCCCTAATCTCTCTTATAATCTCATCGGTTTCTTGTGGGCATTGCTATAACATTCCCTAACTTCCTTAATGGATTCTTGTGGGCATTGCTATAACATTCCCTAACTTCCTTAATGGAGAGCCATCCATTGGGGGAATGAACCCATATTGAAAGATCACTCTAAGGGTATAGAGGAGCTGTAAAAGCTTTAGCCTCCTAGATTCTGATCAAGGGAACAAATGTAGGAGATGGAAGCTTCCAAGTCTGAGATGAGCCCGACAAATAATTTGCAACCTTAGGTTTAGCAAAGACTCCTAGATCCATATGGAAATGGACACCATAACACTCCAAATGGATTTCTCTGATAACCATAGATCTGCCAAAAATTATACAGCTCTTATAATCTTATTCCTCCCATCTCTTTTCTTTCAAAAGGCTCTCACAAAGTGAAGGGTTTTTCCCATTCAAGCTTTTATGCTAGAAATTACAGTAAATTCTCCTTAGAATAAGAAAAAAATGTGAACCAATTTCTTGAATGAAGCAAAAAAGGAGTTCCCTTATCTCTTTCCTCATTTCTTACATAAATTTATGCCATAAGTTCACATACCCATGTCAATTTCAAAACTTGAACTTTTGAACATGACCAATATATCTGTTCCAAAGTTTGAGGTGAGGCCTGTAAGTAATCAGCAACCTTAGGTTTAGCAAAGACTCCAAGATCCATACAGACATGGATACCATAAGGCTCTCAAATGGATTTCTTTGATAACCACGAATCCGCCAAAAAATCCATAACTCTTATTGTCTTATTCCTCCCATCTATCTTCTTTCAAAAGCACTCACAAAGTTAAGAGTTTTTCCCATTCGATCTTTTATGCTAAAAATTACAGTAAATTCTCTTTAGAACAGAGGTAAATGGGAACCAATTTCTTGAATGAAGCAAAAAAGGAGTTACCTAATCTCTTTCCTCATGTCTTTCATAAATTTACGCCACAAGTTCACATCCCTTTGTCTATTTCAAAACTTGAACTTTTGAACAAGACGTATATATCCGATTATAAGTCTTCTTGAAGCTCATTTTTTAGGGAATCCAGATATTGTAATTCAAATGCAACAAACCCCAAAAGAGCAAAGAGGCACTCTCAATTTTCACCCGTGAAGACAATGGAACCCAAATCCAAGTGTCCCACAATGGAAATAACCAAAAACCCCATCTTCCTTCCTCTCTCTAGATTCAAAAGCCCCTAAAAACCAATGGAAAATTGTTCATGCATGCTAGACTGCATTTCTACAATATGAGGTCCCAAGGTATAAAGTATCCATTTTAAAGATGGATGTATATAGGTGGTCCATCTAAAATCAATCGAAACTATAGTTAGCAAGTTGGGGAATCTCAATTTATTGACTCACCATAAAATCGGAAATAAATCTTTTTTATTTCAAAAAGTAGGATAAAAAAATTGGGTAAAAAAATACAGATCGGCAAAAATACTTTTTGTAAAAATGTCGTGAATAGATCAAATTAAGCTAAAAAAATCAGGCTGAAAAAAAAATAGATAAGTTAAAACAATTTAGTTGTAAATTTAATGGTCCAAATTATAAAAAAGCATAATTTTCAATTGATAATCTAGTTTTAGTTGAAAGAGATTACTATTGAAAGAGATTTTGGATTGCCAAATTACTTTTAATTAAAAGAGACTCTGGATTGGAACTCACTTCAAAGAAAATTTGGACAATATTTTACAATCCAAAATTAGATTAATGTTTTTTGGAGAATCCAAAATTAGATTGTCAAAAATAATTTGGATTGTCAAATAGCATTAATCTAATTTTGGATTGTCAACTAAAAGGAGATTTTGGATTGTAAAAAAAATATTGGGACCATTAATATTTTCAAATTAAAACTAATTTTAGTTGAACGAGATTTGACAATCTCGTGACAATTTCTCAAATCTCGTGACAATTTTGCCTCACAAATTATATATATAAAAAAACATAATAACTATTATATCAAAATCCCCAAAAAACTCATCCAAATTAGGACTCAATGAAATCTCAAATTAGGTCTCAAATACCATCCAAATTATTACGATTTATACAATATCTCGATTCCCTAAAACAAAAGCATAAAAACAACTCAGATTAGGGCTGAATCCCCAAACCTAAAAACTCGATTTGGGGTTTCATGGCCACCGTATTTTTTGTCTTATCTAGGGTTTTACGTCTTCTATTTATGCTCTTCTGCGTTTGCTTCTTTGCCCACCCTCTCTCTCTCTTTGTTGTTCTCTGTGTTTCTATCTCTTTGCTCTGCATTTTCTTCTCTGTGTTTAATGCGGTAATTAATATCTAAAATTAGATTAATGATTTTATTAATGCTTTTTGCTATTTGAAAATTTAAAATTAGATTAATACTTTTTGAAAATCCAAAATATTAAGGGTGTGGTTTCTATAAGGTTGCAACTTTAAACAATCCAATTAAGACGCACCTCCAAATTTTATCATAAAATATAATTTTGGTGAAGAAACACTTAGGATGGTCTCAAAATCTGTGTTCATATCTAATTGTAAAATTTTAAACTCAAAAAATGGTTAGAATCAAACAAATCTATAAACATATGAAAATCTTGAAAATAGACGGTCTAGATAGTGTATTGCAAGATTCGTTATTTATGGGACTCAAAATCTTTTTTTCTTTCATATTCATACATCTTGATGTCGAGATGATCAATTAAAGGTTTTTTCAACATTAAAACAACCTTTTTCGATGGATTTTTGAGGTGCATCTGTAATTGTACATTTTAATATTGCAATCTTATATAATTTTTTTCCAAATATTTGTCAAATCACTCTAGTTAAAAAATATAATGGTCCAAATATTTTTTTTTAAAATATTATTTTATTTTTTAATATTTATTATTATTATTATTTTTAATATCCATGATCTTCATGTTAAAAATTACATGTCTTTAAAAATTGGGTAAAAAATCCACCAGTAATTCTTAAGAGTCGACTCATTTCTACATAGACTCATACGAGCCGTGTCCAAAACCCATAAAGCGTCTCTCTATGTGCCCTGAAAACCGACTAAGCCCCTTTTCCTCTAGTACGAAATAAACCAACCTCTTATTTTTCTTTTCATCTCTCTAACCATTACCCACTCAAAACCCTAGCAATCCAGCCATCCATTGCCAAGCTCAACCCTCCTGCAACTGTTGTCCTCCTCGCCTCAGGTCTATTCCCCTCATTGCCCCCATTGCTGCATGCTAAGAGCTCGTTCTCCTCGCCTCTATTCCCCTCATTGCCCCCATTGCTACAAGCTAAGAGCTCAGAGAAAGCTACAGTGAGTCCTTAATAATTTTTATTTTTTTTAGAGCTCAAAAAAGAGAAACCCAGATCTAAATGAGATTTTATTTCTGAGATTTTTAGGGTTTTTTTTTTTCTGAGTAAGCTCAAACAAGATTAACCCCAAGTCTACAGAAAGATTTTTTATTTTTCCTGCTTATGAGCAAAGAAGAAAATCCCTGTATTCACAGAATTTAATTTTTATTTATGTTTTATTTTTCTAGTTTGTCACATAATTTTTTATGTGGTTTTCTGTTTATTGAGAAGTACTATTTGCGGATCGAGAGTTTGATTAATTTGATTTTGTGTCTATTATGTAAAATTTATTGGGCTTTAGTTGTATGATTAATTGATCAGTGTTGCTATGGTTGATGATGTTGCTTTTGTGGTGTGTCATTGAAGTAATTTTCATTTGGTTTTATGAGCTAATAATACAAGTATTCTTCTATGTTTTTTATTTTTATTTATTGATGAAAGCTTATTTAGGAGGTTGTATTATGCAGTAGGATTTGATAACTATAAAACTGGGTTCTGTCTATTGTTATTTGCAGAAGCTCAATGTTCAACCCAATGAATACAAAAACCAAATAACAGAAACCCCCATAAATTATGTAAGAATTTTGGATTCCCAAGTATTGAGATTCAATAAGTAAATTGAATGGGTGTTGACAATATGTGTGTTTGCTGGACCAAATTTGGACACACAAATTGAACAATCAGTACACAGACTGAAGCTTATTGTAGCTCAAGCTATTATCTTAAAGAGAGTTTGCTACCAAATGGTGGGTGATATGTGGGAAGGAAGATGTCTTAACTATTGAACATGTACAGAGCCAAAAATTCTGTATAAAGTGGTATTCTTGACTCTATTTATAAAATATCTAGGCTTGTGCGGAAATAGTTGTGCCTTATCAGGAGCAACGTGAATTTCTGCAATATGGATCATCATCATATTCCGTTGGGAAAGTTTTACAGATGAGTGTTTTTCAATGCAACACTAACTGCTCCATAGGATTGCTACCATTGGCAAAGGTTGAATACATGGTGAAATCATAAGTCATGCCACCAAAAATGGGACTCTATTAACAGTTCCTTAAATGAGTACATCATAGGCTATATTGTTCATAGAATTTACACAATTCTATTGTGGCGTGCTGATTTCTCACGTTCTGGTTTTGAAACTTGCTCTTTATTAATACATATTATGCGGTGCACACAATGTTGTGTTATGCTTGTTATTTTTCTTTCTTTGTAATATTCATAGGCAATTTAGTTCTTTTAGGTTCGATATTCTTTTTTCACATCTCTTGCTTGTTGATTTCTCATAACATACGAATTGCAGAAGTATCGTGATTGGGAACTTACTTTTAGTGTCACTTGGCTTAAGAATTCTGCTGGTTCCGATAATGTTGGAATAAATTACCAATGGACAACACCACAAGATGAATCACTTCTAGAAATTACCAATGAACAACACCGCTCTGGAATCCCTGTCATATTACGGAGGGACTTTAAAATCTATTTCATAACTTTTATGTGTAAGATGGTTGGTTTATATTTTCCTCTTGACTTGGTTGATTATATGGATGACTGTAACTGTTCCTTTTATTTATGTGGATGGTGGTTAATGTGGATGTTTATGTGATTGATTTTTGGTGGGTAATGTGGATGTCTATTTGTTTGATTTTTGGTGGTTATGTGGATGTCTATGTGATTGATTTTTGGTGGTTAATGTAGATGTTTACGTGATTGATTTTTGGTGGTTAATGTGGATGTTTATGTGATTGATTTTTTGTGGCTAATGTGGATGTTTATGTGATTGAATTGTTAAAACAGACAATTTCGTGCTTTCCTAGCATCAAGATTACCAAACAAGAGAAAGTAGCAGAATTACAGTTTATCAAACAGGGTTCCCAGCTTTCAGGCTACCAATTTTCACGTTCTCCCAAATTCTAGGAAAGTCAACAGCGGGATAATCCCAGGGAAACTGCACAGAAAGTTATTGAACGCACCCTAGGCCCTCCCACCCACCCTACCCATGGGCACGCCGGAGAACTCTCGAGAGCCCTGCCCCGACCGCATCCTGGATGACATCGGGGGCGCCTTTGCCATGGGAGCAGTGGGTGGCTCCGCCGTGCACTTCTTCAAGGGATTCATTAACTCCCCCAAAGCTCATCGCCTCTCTGGTGCATCTCAGGCCGCCCGCATGAATGCCCCCCGTATTGGCGGCAGCTTTGCTGTTTGGGGTGCCCTCTTTTCCTCCTTTGACTGCTCCTTTGTCTACCTCCGACAGAAGGAAGATCCATGGAACTCCATTTTAGCAGGTGCTGCCACTGGTGGCTTCTTACAACTCCGTCACGGGGCTAAATCGAGTGCCAGATCAGCTATGTTTGGAGGGGTATTGTTGGCTATGATTGAGGGGGCAGGGATTTTGCTCACTAAGGTCATGAGCCCACCAACATCTATGCCTATGCCTATGGAGGGGCAGATGCCGCCAGGGATGGCACCGGGCATGAATTTCCCCCAGCCGCCTTATGGGGGGCACCCTGAAGCCCTGAATTATCAGAGTCCTCCAACTTCGAATCCATCAGCATCAAGTTCGGGCTCTTCTTGGTTTGAGGGTTTGTTTAGGGGGAGGAAGGACGATGCTAAAATTGGGGGTGAGGAGAAGGGGGACAACGTGTTGGAGAGCTTTGATAAGCCTAGCACACCGATTCCTTCGTTTGAGTACAAGTGAGGGCTTGGTATGTGATTTTTTTCCTTCGGTAATGCTTGGTTTTGGGGTTTTATGGTGTCATATGTTTCCATATGAGATGTTAATGGGAGATTGATTTCTTTATTACAAAACCCAAATAGCATAGGATGAGTTTTTAGGATTTTAGCTTTGGTTTCTGACATTACTGTCACTAAAAATCCATTTTTTTCCTATATTACAATATATTATAGTGCATTTCTCTGCCAACACAAATCATAACAAGATTATTGTTTCTTATACATAGAATCATCGTACGTCTTATAATTTTTTATTAGGACTATAAACCTGAAATGCATATTGGTTTATGCGACTTATTGTTGATGTGAGTCGAAAGGTGGAAAGATTATGTTTAGCATTATTCTTAAGTTTTTATATGATATATGAATGATTAAAATGCATGACTTGGTGCTAGATTGGATGTGCCCAAATCTAGCAGAATTTTGAATGACGCGTTAAAAAACCTGCAAAATTGCTCGGATGAGTTTGGATGTGCACTAGCTTTTTGGATGGCAGGTTAAAAACCTTTTGAATTGCTACAAAAAGTGGCTTCCAAAAAATCTCAAGGTGGACTCCAATTTTTTCAATTGTTTGGTTTTTTAACTTTCTTTTGGCCTTCTCACCCAAAGCGCTCCTCGCCCCAACACAATGCCTCTCGCTCTCTCTCTTGCTAACCTTCATCTACATCCACCATAAAGACACCTTAGCCTAGTGGTCTAATCCTAATCAAGCCTTTCAGGGATCCAGAGCCATAGACTCATTCCTCTTTCGTCATGTCGACTAAGCCCTCTCAAGAAGAGAAAACATGAGGTTGGGTGAAATTGCAAGGTCATAGGTCATCGAGAAAATGAATTAATGAAGTGATTCCATCCAATTTCTTTGCTTGAATGATGAAAGAAGTGTCTTAAGGTGAAAAAAGAGCGAATTGGTTGTAGAATTTGTTTTGTTTAGGGTAGATCAACATGTTGCAGCCTCTTTGGGCCATGGAGATTTGGCAGAGCGAAGCCCTGCTAAGTATTTTAAGTTTCTACTGTTGCATGGCTGCCACTGTGTTGCCTTCTCTTCATCAAGATTTCTTGGTCTTCTTCGCCTTCCAATTTGGTCAATTGGGTTTCAAGGAGATGGTGCCCTCTTCTTGGGAAGCCATGGTGTTACACCTCTATCTATTTTGGGCATACGTCCAATAGGTTTTAAGATTGGGTTGCTGGGGGGGAGGGATCAATGTCTTCTTGGGTTATCTTAGGTTAGGAACGTTTCCCCTTTTTAAGAAAACTGGTGTGAGGGAGGGAGGGATCTATGTCTTTTTGGGTTGTCTTAAGTTAGGAATGTTACCCCTTTTAAGAAAATTGGTGTGATTGGTTGATGGGGTTTTATGTTTTAGATTATAAATGAAAAGTATCTAATTAGGTTAGGAATGTTTCCCCTTTTTAAGAAAATCGATGTGAGCGATTGATGGGGTTTTACGTTTTAGATTATAAAAGAAAAGTATCGAATTTCAATTGGGTTAATGAAAACCATATTTTATTGAGCAAAAGCTTTGAGAGGCCCGTCCATCTTGAGTCCGACCCTTGCGCTGTTTTTTGTGGCAAATTTTTCCTACTTCGACTATGTGGATCGTGTCCGTTTTAATCAAAGCTTATGGATCTTGGATATGGTGGAAGGTACACGATGCAGGAGCTATCCAAAAGGATCAATGGAGAGTTGAAGCTTATCAAGGATAGCGTGCGAACATAATTGGAGAACCGTGACAAACGTCTGCAAGAAAATGCTCAGGCGATTCAAGATATTTGATTGATGATCTCTACAATGGATCCAAAGTTCGAACATATGTTGGCATCACAAAATCAGGAAAAGAATATTTCATTTAATGCTCCAGTAGAATAATCAGGTCGCCATCACGATGCTAGTTTTCCACGTGAGACATAGGAAAGGGTCTTCCTAACTAGTATGTACAGCTGGATTTTCCTCCATTCGATGGCGATGATACGTATGGGATTGGTGTACTGGGCTGAGCAATTTTCCAAATTTAATCAAATGCCTGACTCATAGAAAGTGATTTTGGCATTGTTTCACGTAAGAGAGATGCATTGCAATGGTATCAATAGGTAAAGAAGTTGAAGGGGGGAGCTTTCATGAGCAGAGTTTGTGGATGCCCCTTGTATTGGATTTGGTCTATCTAAAGTGCGTTAGACTACTATAGTTTGGGAGTACCAAATGCAGTTTGAACATTTGGCAAACTGAACAAAAGGGTGGGCAGAGGTGTTGGTCGGGTGCTGTGTGCGTGGGCTGAAAGATGAAATCAGGATGGATGTATAGATATCTAGACGCACCACGATGTCAGCAACTATTCGGTTGCCTAGGTTACAAGAGGAGAAATTGGCACACCAACAAAGGCAAAATAAAGCCATCATCAACTGACCTACAAATTCAAACTCGCTTGCAGCACCTAAGTCTAAAACCCCACCCATTAGGTGTCTTTGTCCAACAAAAATGAAAGAACATCGTGACAAGGGATTGTGGTACAATTATGATGAGAAATTCAGCCCAGAGCATCATTGCAAAACCCAACAATTATTCTTGATGGAGGGAAATTGGCTGGATGTGGGGGAAAGTTTCGAGGAGATAGTCGAGGAGGTAGAGGACTCACCAAAAATCTTAGTGCATGCACTCTCAGGCTTGATTGTTCTTACCATGGGAGTGAAAGGTTAAAAGACATTCGGCTACTATTCTTGTCGATTCTGGGAGTACTCATAATTCCTTTGACCCATCATTTGCCAAGAGATTTGGGTGTTGTATTATGCCTAGAGAGTATTTTGAAGTAATGATAGCAAACGGTGAAAAGATAACAAGTTAAGGTAATTGCCCTAATCTTACAGTTATGATGCTGAATTTTTGTTTTAAGTCAGATTTTTCTTGTTGCTGCTTGGGGGTTGTGATATGGTTTTAGGAGCGCATTGGTTACAATTTTGGGTCAATTCTTTATGCTTTTGCAGAGTTTTGGATGCGCTTCACAGTTGATGGAATGCCATATAAAATCAAGGGAACCAAGCTTGGGTCATCAAAATCATTGGTGCTAATAGCATGGAAATCTTGGTTCGTAAGGATCACTCAGAGATGGTAGCTTATTTGATGTGAATGCAGAGGGTTCAACTATTAGTGAACCCCCAATTCTTCTACAACATATCTTGGCACAATTGGAGGATGTGTTTGTGGAGCTGACGGGGTTACCTCGGATCACTCGCAAGATCATTGGATTTGTTTCGTCCTTGGTAGTCAATCCACCAAAATTAGACCGTAACGGTGCCCATATTTTCAGAAGAATGAAATTGAACCGTCGTTATGAGATGTTATAGGATGGAATTGTTCCGCACAAATGTAAGCCCTTATCTGTCTCCAGTTTTTCTATTGAGTAAAAAAGATGGCAGGTAGCACCTGTGTGGATTAGAGGGCTCTAAACAAGATAATGGTCAAGGATAAGTTCCTTATACCTGTCTTCTATGAGCTCCTCGATGAGATTCATGGGGCTAAATTTGTTTCCAAGCTCGACCTTCATTTGGGCTATCATCAAATTCGTGTACATGAGCAAGATGCACAGAAAACTTCTTCTTGAACACATGAAGGGCACTATGAATTCTTGGTAATGCCATTTGACCTCACTAACGCGCTAGACCTTATTTGTGTAAATTTATTGTAGTTTTCTTTGATGATATTCGTATTTGTTGCAAATCTTGGAAAGAACATGAAGAACGCGTGCTTGATTCTCAAAACAAGAAAAAAACATGAAGAACATGTGCTGCTTACACTAGCGCAATTTCCAAAATCGGCTTAATGTCAAACTTTCCAAGTGTTTGTTTGGACTAGGCGAAGTAGAGTACTTGGGGCGTATTATTTCACAAAATGGTGTTTCGACTGACCCCAAAAGGATACAAAGTATTGTTGAGCGGCCCATGCCTCAGTCCCTTAAGGCGCTTATAGGGTTTTGGCCTCATTGGTTACTTTCAAAAGTTTGTTAAGGATTATGGGAAAATCAGTACTTCACTTACAGGCCTCCTCAAGGAGGACACTTCTATTCTAAAGTAGATCAAGAATTTGAGCTCTCAAAGCATCCATGACTACTGCTTGCATTACCTGATTTCACTCAGACTTTAGAGTGTGATGCTTCATGGGCATCCCATAACCTTTATTCGTAAGGCTCTATCGAGCAAGCAGTTGGCCTTATCAATGTATGAAAGGGAGATTATGGCCCATGCTATTAGAGAGTGGTGGCCTTATTTGTTGGGACAGCACTTCAAAATCTACACTGACCACCGAAGTTTGAAGTATTTCATGTAATATAGAATAATTCATTAGAACAACAAAAGTGGGTATCACTATTAGGGTATGATTGAGGAGCCGAGAATCAAGCTACTGATGCATTTTTTAGAAGTCCTGAAGAGGGTTGTCTGATGGTCATCTCATTCCTTGGATTTACGTGGATGGAATTGGTAAGGAAAGAGTGAACTGCAGATGCTGAGTTATTAGAATTAATCCAAAGGCTTCAACAAGAAACACATGCCATCCTCTGTTATTCCTACAAGGGAGGAGAGCTTCGACACAAGGGGAGGATTGTGATTGGGTCTCACTCTCTATGCGCTTGGCTATTCATAAGGAACTCCACTCTTCGCGTAGTGCTGGTCATTCAGGGTATTCAAAGACATAAAAAGGATATCCCGATCCTATTTTTGGAAGGGAATGAAGTAGGAAATCAGCAAGTTTATTGCAGAATCTGATGTTTGTCAAAGGAGCAAAGACAAAAAGGTCACTTATCTGGGGTCACGGAACAAAGACAAAAAGGCCACTTATCTGGGGTTACTACAGCCACTCCCAATACCTGATTATATTTGGATAGACATCTCCATGAATTTCACAGAAGGTGCCAAGTTTACATGGCAAAAATGTGATCATGATAGTGGTTGACAAGTTATTAAAATATGCGCATCTTTGCCTGTTGTCTCACCCACACACTTGCCTCCACTGTTGTTCAAATTATTATGGATCAGATTTTTAAGTTGCAATGGCATGCCACCAACTATTGTTTGTGACACGGCTGCTGTTTTATGGTATTTTTTGGCATGAGTTATTTCAACAGGAAGGTGCGCAATCTAAGATGACTACGACTTATTATCCAGGGATTGACAGAAACAAAAATGGTAAACAGCTATCTGGAGACTTATTTACGTTGTTTTGCTAGTGAGAGGCCAAAAAGTTGGGTAAGATGGTTATCATTGGTAGCATGGTGGTGTAATACCATGTTTCGCTCTGCAACAAAGATGATACCTTTTGAAGTAGTTTTTATGGTGTTAACTGGTTATATTTTAGGTTCTACCAAGGCAGATCAAGTTCATAAAGAGGTATGGGACAGTGATCAGATTTTAAAGGTCTTGAAGGGAAATCCTCATGTTGCTCAACATTGCATGAAGCAACATGTGGATCGTGACAGGTCGGAAAGGGAGTTTCATTGTGAATGATTTTGTCTATTTGCGTCATCATCCCTATTAGTAGGCTTATGTGCAGCGTATAAGCTCTCTTGCAAGCTTATGGGCCTTATAGGATTGTTCAGGTTATAGGTCTGGTGGCTTACAAGTAAGCATCAAGTTAGCATTACCAGAGGGAACGAGGATTGATCCTTTTTTCCATGTTTCTTGTCTCAAGAAAAGCATTGGATCACATCATACAATTCAAACCGTACTTCATATTCTAAATGAGGATGGTGTCATGAAGATTGAGCCACATGCGATTTTGGCATGGAGAATAGTTAAGGACAATAATCGGGTAGTCATGGAAGTGCTGGTTCTGTGGACCATTATGGCCCCTGAGTATGCCACTTGGGAGTCCCTCTACATGCTGCTACAACAATTTGTACACTTCCAAACTTGAGGACAAGGTCGATTTCAAGGGGGAGGGGATGTTATGTTTTTATTTATTTTGGGTTGCAGAGAGAGAGAGAGAGACGGAGGGAGGGAGGGAGGGAGAGTTATCTATTTCTTTTTGGGTTAGGTTAGGCTATGAAGGTTTCCCATTTTTTAGGAAATGTGCCATGAGTGGTTGAACCTTGGGGGTTGAACAGTAGGTTATAAAAGAAATGTAATTTCAAATGGGTTCCTGAAATAACCATATTTTACAGGGAAAAGCTCTAGGAGGCCTGTAGAACTCGAATCGGCACTATTCCTTTTTTGAGATTTTTTTTTTTTTTTTAGTGAGGAGGGGGGGGGGGGGGACAAATTATTCCTTGTTCGCCTGTGTGGATCGTATCACATTGAAACAACTAGGGTTCCAATTCTTGTCACGTCACTTCATCTTTGCAAGGCCCATGAAGGGCCATGATCTCTCTTTTTCTAACTTCAGGTTTTGAACTCTCTCCTCTTCCCACCCTCCCCTCTCTCTCTCTCTATCTCTTCTTTCTCTCTCTTCCTCCCTCCTCTCCTCTCTCTCTCTATATCTCTTTCTCTAACTTCAGGCTTTGTCACGCTCTGTGGTTTGGGCCCCTCAAACCATCCCCATCTCTCTTCGTTAATCACTTTCTAATCTCCTCTCCGAAATTGGGTCCAATCCCTCCCTCTCTCTTTCTTCTCCCTACCCCTCTATCTTAGGTTTCAATCCCTCGATCTTCTCTCTCGTAACTCCCTTCTCTCACCTTTAATACTCTATGGGTCTCTCTCCCCCTCTCCCCCTTCTCACTCTCTTCCTCTAACGGTGACAATCGACAATGGCCTGGGTCCATGTTTTGGACCCGGCAGGCCAAGTCCGGGTCGGGGTTGACCCAACCCAACCCGGTATAATATATATATATGTATTACATAATATAAATTAAATTTTTATTTTTTAAAAAATTTCTAATCTTGTTGGGTCCCAATGACAATTTTTATTTTTTAAAAAATTTCTAATCTTGGGTCTGAGTTGGGTCCCAATGACTTGGACCCTACCTGAGTCCCCGAGTCCTGGTCCAGGTCCTGGTCCGGGTCCGGGTCCATGTAAAGCTTAACCAGGTCAGGTCTGGGTCCAGGACTATCCAGACCTGATCGGATCTAGACCTTACTCGACCCCTTGCCACCCCAATCTCTCTCTCGCTCCCTCTTTCCCTTCTCTCCCTCTCACAAAAATTCTGACATCCTCATTTTGCCCCCCTCTGTAATTTCCAGCCACCCCACACTGGTCAGGCAAACCCTCCTCTCTCTCCTCCTCCACCACCTCCTCTTCCCCTATTCCTTGGCGATGGAAAAACCCTACAAAATCATTGACACATGGCGATCGGAGTTTCTCTTAAGGCTGCCAAACAAACATAACACAGATAAAATAAGCTGCAACTAGCTTTTAAAACAACCAACCAGATTTTTAACTACAGAAAGAAAAACTTCAGAGCTTTCATATATATATATATCTGAAAAGCATGCAAGTTTTTTAATGATGACCTTTTTAAATTTGTCATCCAAACTAGGTGTTAACACTTCGCTATTAGTTGTGCTTTCTTTGCGCTCTAGATGATACAACAAATGGAGTTCTTTGTTTCCATGTTATTAGGTACAAGGAGAGGGGTCATGGGGATTTCTTTTGATACTCAGGAAATCTGGGAGTTGGCAAATAATCAAATCTATTTACTCTGAGTTGGTCATGGAAACCATATTTAAATGCAAGAAAAATGAAAGCCCTGAAGGATGGCTTGTTAATGGAATGAAAAATCTGAAATTGTGTCTTGACTAACAAAATCATGTGTTTCATGCCACATTAATGAGGGTATAGTGTTTTTATGCATTTTGATGTCAATATTTGCACTTCCACTGCAAGTGATTACACTATCACGTGTTACATGCTTTCTCCTTGCTAATTTTTATTTCCTATTGATTGTGTTTTACTTGCAATGGATACATTGGAGTTGTGACCAAAGTTTGCTTTGCTCTTGGTTATTGTGCTTATTGGGAAAACACCATCTAGCTTTTCTTTGATTGCTAGTTGTTCATTTGGCTGGTTTATAAATCAATGAACTAAATTTAGTAGGATCATCAACGTCGACTCTTTTTTTTTTGAGAGAGAGAATCATCAGGTCAGTTTATAAATGGATGCAGGAAAAATGGAAACATTGAAGGATGGCTTGTTAACGGAATGAAAATCCTGAAAATGTGCCTTGAATAACAAAATCAGCATTTCAAATTTTAGAATTTTAGATTGCTTGGCCTATGTTTTGAAATTTTAGAATCCTCATATTTCTCTTAGCTGCCCTTGTGCTATGACAAACACGTAACTTGAACAAATCTCATCAACTTTGAATTTGAATTTAGGGTTCACGTAGGTTGGATTCTAGAATATAAAGACATTATGGCAGAACGATCCATTGCACTCGATTTGTTTCTTTTCTCTATTATATGGGTTTGGATTATGCTCTGAGAGAATTCTAGGAGTTGACAATCACTGTTCTTTTCTCAGTTTCGCTCATATTCAAATTCTCAAGAAAATGCTATAATTGGATGAAACTTAAAAAAAAAAGAAAATGCATTACTTTAGTTCCTTTTATGAAAGCTTTATGTTTTATCACTAATGTTTTTGTAGTTCAATGCAATGTTCGCTTCACTAACTAGAAATGTGCAAGGTATACTCTTGTTTCGATTATTTTTTAATTTCTCTTTGGATCTATCCATGATGGTTTTGAAGGTTCTCAAATCAAGTTACTTGGAGTTATTTGGTCTCTGTGAGGATTGACGGGTGGTCTTCATTTGGTTGGAGAATAGAGTTTTCGTGAATTATATAATGGCAAATGGAGAAAGAAACTAGTTGGTACTGATAATATCTTCATTGCACTTTAGGGAAGTGCTTATCCATACCTTCTAAAGTTAATCTTTTTATCGCAGTAACTTCGGTTTAGGATTTCGTGTGTGTTCTTCATTTATATTGGACGCCTTATTGGGCTTTTGAATATCCATAAATTTTGTTAGTGACATCTACATTGTTTATCTATGGTATTGTGCTGGGGCACATCACTCTATTGCGCATGTAAATATAACTGATATGGTTGATATAGAAGTTAGATAAAATAACTTCCTTGATATTCTGATTCAGTGTTTTGAATCCTTGATCGTCGGGGTGGTTTGCAGTGTTGTGTCTACTATGTGTCCTCGCTGTTTTGGTATTCGGCCTGAAAACCTAGTACAACCCTAACACATCCATACAATCATCGATATATAAATTTAGCATATTTAAATACTCAAGGGTCTCTACTCAATTTAGGGACATTATGTTGTTTAGGAATGAGTAATGCAATTTGATTTCATCTAACCCTCCCAGCAACACCCTTTCTCTTTTTCTTATGAGGTTGATTGCTAAAGTTGAAATTGTTGTATCCCCTAAACTTGGGGTCCTCAAAACACTCCAACAGTGGGTTTTTTACTCAAGGTAGTTAATGGACATTATGCTCCCCCGGGAGCACAATATCCTTTGGCCTTTTTCTTTTTTTTTCCGATCCAAGTCCAAGTGTGATAATTGTTAAGCATTATGACATGGAAAAAGTGGGAGTGTAGTTAAGGCGTGAACCTTAATTCTAATTGTGATAGTGGTGAAACATTTTGATATGGAAAAAGTTAAAATGAGAAGTAGGGTGCACCTCAAAAATCTATCCAAAAGAGTTGGTTCGACGTTGAACCTCGATATGTAAAGCAAAATAGGTGGATCTTGCATCGTGTTTGAATATCAACACTTCTGATGTGCTTCCTAATGAAAGTTTTAAGGATAAAATGTATTAAAAAAAAAAAAAAAAAACGAACATACAGAAAAAAGAGAGAAGCTATAGCAAAGTACATTTATTGAACGGATGCTTAAATTGTACAAAGTTAAATAATAGCAAAGTCCTTCATTTCAGAAAGTTAAATAATAACAAAGTCGTTCATTTCAGAAAGTACAAGGCTGGTCTGTTATTTCCTTGTTGTATTATGTGGTCACTGTTAAGTGCATTCGCCTTATGCCGTTATGTATTTATTATTTTGGATGGGACGCGGTTAGCATGCATACACATGTAGAAATGCGGGCCTTTTAATAAATCTATTTTTTAGATGAATTTTTGGATTTAATTTTTAAAGGTATGTAATTTCTAACATGGAGATCATGAATATGAAAAAATAAATCAATTTTAAAAATTAGAAATAATAATTCTATTAAGAAAATAATTGAATTGCTAGTTTCAATTGTTTTTGGATATATCACATAATTGCACCTGCCTTTAAGATGGGTGCTTTATACTTCTGGTCTGCATATTTAGAAATGCGGTCTAGCCTGTATGAAACACTTTTCTTTTTATATATCAATTTAGAGGAAGACCTCTTTTATTTTTTTTAGTGATGAGTCAATTTTTTTGGTCTTACCCTGCTAATTCTTAATTTTTCCCCATTATACTGTTCTAATTTTTGAAATGGTCCAACTTTCCATATTAATGGCTATGTATTAATCTATCTCTCTACAATTACTTACGTATTTAGTATCCCCAAATTTGAAACTCTCAACATCATCTCATTTAGCACACTATTTATCTCTGTGTACGTGGTTTCTATCCCACATCCTCTCTCTACCCCACTTCTCTTTTACCCTTCTCTTTTTCTTCTATATTAATTGTCTAATATTATTTTTACACCAATTATATATTTTTGTTTAAATATTATAAGATATTCTGTTAATTATAAAGTACTACTTTGATGGCACATCTATTAATTATCTCACCCTTATCTATCCTATATTAAAAAAATATTTGCTTTTTCTCCTCTTTATGTACATGCCCTCTCTCGTTCTCTCAATACTCTTTTTTATCATAATTAAATAAGTATAATCATTAATTTATTATAAAGATGTTAATTATAGTTTTATTATGAATACAATGATCACTATGAAGCCCTATTTAAATTTTAACTTAATAGTGTTAATCTATTCTAATATCGCAGTGATAGTTATATAAATTTGTGTATAACTATTCTATTTTTGACAATGTAATTTATCAATAATTATCTAAATTCTTATAACTAATTACTTTATTATAATAATTAATTGTAATTGTTATAATGTTCAAAATTGTAATAAATATAGCTGGAATTAATTATACAAAAAATACAATTGAAATACATTACAAAAGGGAAAATTATATATATATGTATCCATTATATTTACTGGTATTATGAAAATACCTTCAAGTTTCCGTTATTACACTTATATTCGCTTTTTCACTATTGTAAATGATTTTTTTTAAAAAAGACAGATATGCTCATTTTCGGTTTTTCAAAAACTGAAATGGGCCTGAATTCGGTTTTTGAAAAACCAAATTTGTCTTTCTCTCTCTCTTTTACCTTGACATTCTCCATCTCGCTCTATCAACTCTATAGACATTGAAAGTCTTGACATGGATATTTCAGATACCAAACAAATGGAAATGCATATGAGACCATTTACTTTAAATGTAAGGAGGTCACAATCACCATTGATTGTTAGATTTAAAATTTTGACAATTGATGATATGTTATTGTTTGGACACAAAATCCAAAGTAAAATTTCTCGAATGTTGTGACACATTTTCATATATTAGATTTCACATCCAATGGCTCTATGTGATGATGACTTCCTTGTACAAAAAATAATCTGTCTCATAATATACAATCCCTAAACAAATCGATGAATACTTGGAAATTTTGAAAATAGATAGTCCAGATAATGGGTTAGGTTCACTATTTTTTAGAACTTGAAATCATTTTTTTGTTAAAATCTCCATATCTGTATAATTTGAGGTTGAAATGATCAATTGGAAGATTTTTCAACATTGAAATTTTCTTGTGGATGTTGTAGTGCGCCTTAATTTTATAGTATGATATTCAAGCCTTGTATAAACTTTTTTCTTGATTCAGTATTGAATCATTGACCTTTCAAGTTTTGTAAATTTGGATCAAGTATTTGAAAAGCGCATTGGTGGACTTGGCATCCAATTGCGCTTTTCTGGTAGCATTCATCTCTAACGGCTATTAAAGCTCTCAAACGGAAAAATGAGGGCAAATCTTGAACCAAAAATGGCAAAATTCTAATCTTGGTTGTTGCTCTTCAAAATTTTCTAGCAACTTTTTGAAAATTTCATTTGCAAGCCACTGCAAATGTTAGGAGTGCCTAAGTATGTTACCATTTACACGATCATACAAAAGATATGATCATGAGCGTTATCACCAGCTAACCAATTGATGGACGGTCAGGATAAACTGGGGGTTCTAAAATTTCCAAATTGATCTCTACCTTTAATTTTCTATTCAAAGTTTTATGAACTTAAATAATAGAAAATAAAAATAGAAAAGAAAATAAATAATATAAGGGATTATATACTATGAGACTATTTTAGGGTAGTGATTTCATTCAACAGTTGTATCATAGTATAAATATAACGACATTTCTAAAAAACCATGTTTATTCGTACAACCTAAAATATTGCAAACACATTCTCTTCATCTCAATAATCAATCTCAAAAAAAAATAAGTTCAATTTGATCGCCAGATGTGGTCAAATGAGTCCCCTCCAAATATGAATATAAGACCATTCATTTGGTGAATTTCAAGATCTTAGTCTTTATAAATTCAAAATCATTTTTTTTTTTTTTTTTAACATTGTTCATCTAATGATAATAAAGCCATCCAAAAATATTGGAAATGAAAAAATCATTCTAAAGCCTAGATCTAAGTATCTCAGCAAAATGAATGGCCTATGTTAATTGGGCTAAAAAAATACTTTCTAGGTTATGTTTTCAAATTTTTCTTTTTTGTGATTGTTTATTAGAATGAAAAGAGTGTATATGTCAAAAGGAAAAAATTTATATAAGGATGCAACCTTATAATATAGAACTAAGGATGCACCTCAAAAATCCATCGGAAAGGTCGTTTTAATGTTGAAAAACCCTTTGATTGATCATCTCGACATCGAGATGTATGACCATGAAAAATAAAAAGACTTTAAGTATCAGAAATAGTGCATTTTACAACATATTATCTACACCATCCATTTTC